ACAACCTTTCTTTCATTCGCGCCACCTGCAACTTTGATGAATAATAATGGCTAAGATTTATATAATGCCTATTGTATGTCAGGCACTGGGCTAAGTACTTTTATAATTATTATCTTATTTGATCCTTCCAAACAAATCTGGGAGGTAGAGGCTATTATCATCCTCATTTTACAGATGAGGAAACTGGGGTAGACAGAGGTTAAGTGACTGCCCAGGGTAACATAGCTAAGTGTCTGTGTAGTAAGTGTATGAAGCAAGATTTGAACTCACATCTTCCTGATTACAGGTCCAGCAATTTATCCAGTGTACCACCTAGCTGTCACGTGCCTTTTTGGAGATCACAGTAGTCCATGATTCTCAGACAGAGACCATCAATAAGAGAATGTTGGGATTCACACTGTTTTAGTAAAATGCTTGGTGTCACTCAAAGAATTGCAATTTTACAAAGAAAGTCCATACTGTCATCATATGCCAACTAATCATTGACCATACAGTACAGCTTACTTATGCTTGCCTAACATATGTCTTTCCATTGCCCTTTGAGTCTTCTGAAGTTTTAATTCTTTGGAGATCATGAGAGTTTATGATTCTCAGACACTATCACTAGTCAATGAATATTGGTGTTGAGAGCTTGGGCTTTTTCGGAATCTCCTTCAAGAGTCTAGGATCACTGCCATACTGCAATGATGCTATAGGATAGGCTATTAGTGGAAGAATGATGATGTTATCATATATGAAAGTCACAATAATACACAGAAAAATGAAAATATTGGTGTTAAAAAAAGGTTTGTTTTTCAAGTAATTTAAATTTATATTCACCTTTGTCCTGAATGCTTAATTTATCTTGTTTAATTTACCTTCATTGTATACATACACTCAAGGTTGAGTTGGAGTAGATAGCATTGCTTATATTTTACAAGGCACAGAGAAGATAAGGAATTGGTCTAGGACCACACACAAAGCAGTCGTTTGGCTGGAATTGGGGGCATATCACTTGTTTCTCAAGAACTTTTGCTTTTGAAAGCCTTTTAAGGTATTCCTTTGGCCCTTCCCCAAGGTTTCACTTTGAAATTTGAAAACGAGGGTCAAAACCGAAATACCCTTCACTTTGGAAGCTGAGCTAGAATTTTTTCTTTGATCTCAAAAACTGTGTTTTATATATCTCTGTATTCCCCACAGTATAAAGTGGATGATTAATAAATATTGGATTGAATGAATGCATGAATGATTAAACAAATCCTTGAGGGAAGTCTGAGCCCCTGGCTTAATGTATCAATTGCCTTGTGCAAATCAGTGATTTGCAAAAAACCCTGTCCTGTCTATATTGTAGAACCTTCAGAGAGAAAAATGACTTTACCTTGAAAGTGACCAAGGTATTAATTAATGGGTTTATATAAAGGTTGTTGAAGGACAGAAAAGTATTTGGATTCCTTTCCTTTTCTCACCCCAGTTATTATTATTATTATTTTCATGAAAAGAGAGCCAAAGTAAATAGGATTAACTTTATCCAAGGTCTTGTTAGACACAATTTTGCACTCCAAAGGAATTTGCTCAGGTTACGGCCATGAAAAGGAAGCTTGTGTCTGGACTAACATGAAAATGAGAGAGTTTTCTTAGTACCATATGCCATGCTCTGAGATACTCACTGAGATACTCATTGACCACAGTGTATAAAGAAGTCTAAAACCTTCAACTATCTATTCACAGAAGATAGTCAACAGAAGAAGAAGTAGTGGAAAGCTAAACAAACAGAAAATTAACGGACAAGCTTTCTTCATTATTAGTAACCCTTCTAAAGTCTCAAGAGCATTTCTTTGATTTATCAGGAAGTGATCATTTGAATATATTCAGGGATTTGTTTAATTTTTAGATAAACACAATTAATTCTTTATTGAGTTGGTTCCTGATGCAGCCTAGGAAAACTACTGGGCTGGTATTGGGTGTCCAGGAAAGCCCATTTCTCAGATGAGTTTGTTCCTCCTATGTACAAAATTAGCCTCACAAAAAAGGAAGAATTTCTATTCTACAGCCATAGATGACACACCTAATTCCTGGCTGAGCAATTTGGAAATGTGTTCTTTCTGTAAAATCATAACAAGAGTGTGGCTAGTAGTGGTATGTCACAGAGTGCTGAAATTTAGAGGGCACTCGTGGCACTTGAAGTCCATCAGAAGCATGGGAACAACTCAACTTATTGACTAGCTAGCAAGAATGAGTTAAAATATGAAGCTACCAGATGACAGGCTCCTCTCTAGTCCAGGACAACCCAGATGACTTCCTTTCCTCCCCTGATAGCAGCCTCACAGCAGCAGTTTCACCAGATTCTAGGGCCTCTTCTGTTGCCCATTCTTCTCCTACCTCTATGTTATTGATAATGCATTGCTTACCTCTTTCCCTGGGTACTGTTCTAGGTATAAAAATTCCTAGCTATAGCTTGGGAGATGTGTCAGGTTCATATATCTTCACATCTACTTGTTATAATCTGCCATTTTCTCCCGGCTATACTTTTTGAATTGTCCTATCTTCATACACAGCAATAAAGACCTCAGGAGAAGCTGCAATCATAACCATTTTAAACTTGGCAATAGTATTACTAGGTCTATACTAGATCTATACCCCAAAGAGAACAAAGAAAGAAGAAAAGATGCAGATATTTATATCAGCTCTTTTATGGTGTCAAAGAACTGGAGACTAAGGAGGTGCCCATCAGTTGGGGAATGGTTGACCAAATTATCGTATATGAATGTAATAGAATATTATTGTGCCACAAGAAATAATGAAAAGGATAGTTTTAGAGAAACCTGGAAAACTTGTATGAAATGATGCAGAGTTGGGGCAGCAAGGTGGTGCAGTGGATAGAGCTCTGGCCTTGGAGTCAGGAGGCCCTGAGTTCAAATGTGGCCTCATACACTTGATGCTTACTAACTGTGACCCTGGGCAAGTCACTTAACCCCAATTGCCTCACCAAAAAGAAAAAAGAAAAGAAATGATGCAGAGTAAAGTGAGTAGAACAACCTATCTACCTACCTAACTGTATGTATGTATATGTATATGTATATATACACACATACATTGAGAAACAACTCTGAAAGACTTGAGAACTCTGCTCAATGCATAATTAACCATGATTGCATAAGAGTCAACTCACATCACAATCCAATTATTAAAAATGCTACATGCCTTCTGACGGAGAGGTGATGGACTAAATTTGTAGAATGAAATGTATATTTTTAAACACAGCCAATGAAGAAATTTGCTTTTCTTGCCCATGCATATTTATTACAAGGTTTTCATTTGTCTTCCTACCTACCCCTCCCCCCAAGGTAGGGAGGTACAAGGGAAAGGTAATAAATGCTCAATTGAAAAAAATAAAACTTAATTTAAAATAACCTGAACAGTTAAAAAGTGATCTAAATTCTCCTTTATGAGATTACATGGAGGAAACATACTATAAACACAAGGAAATTGCCTGGACAGTCCAGTGTGTTATATTTACTGCACCAAGGCCTACATATGTGATGCATCCGTATATCCATACCATTCAGGATTTGGATAAATCAGGAATCAAGTACCATATTTTTGTGCTCTAAGGCAGGAAAGGGATTACCTTCCAGATGGAGATGCTAATTTTTTTCAAATGCTATGTTCTTTTAAAACAAATTGCTACCTTATAATGTATTTAGACTACAGATCTAAGATGTCAATGGTTCACTCATATTTTGTGGAATATATATATATATACATATATATGTGTGTATGTGTCTACAGATAAACGCATACACATATATGTGCATACACATACTACATACATATATACATATGCATACATATAATTTTCTACGTGAAATTTTAATGCATTCCTTTTAGAGACAGAGCAAAAAAAATACACAAAAAGAGTTCATCCAGAGAGAAAAGCAGCATCGTTGGTAGCAAGCAGACTCATATTTCTTAATGCATTTAAAATTCCTCTAACACTGAGAAGGGTACATGAGTACAAGGTGGCGCTGATCCTGCTTTGTGAATTGTGAGCCTTTGCAAAAAAAACAAAACCCAAAAAAACTGCCTGGTGTCTGGCTCCCATTGTTCCCTTGACTCTGTCATCAAAGGACCAAATGTGAGTGGAAATTTGACTTTTAACGTCTTCTGTCAGCCGTCCAAGAAAAGTAATGCAAAATGATTTTTAAAGTAGTAAAGCAGGCCCCCGCACTAGTTCCAGCGTGGTGCTTTAAAGACCAAGAGGTTTTCATTATATTTTAAAGGGTACATCGAGCAGAAACCCCTTTTCAAGTCAATAGAAGCCCAGTGGCCATGGAATGCGTCCTTCCTCTCAAATCTGGTATTAGCTATGCCTGTCACTTGGAAGGAAATGAAGAACATTTGTGTCCTGCCTTGAAGGCTCTGGCTGTAGTCTGGCTACAGAACTTGCTGCCAGAGCAGCATTAGCTGACTTTGAGAAACTGAACGCCATCTGACAATTAAATAGAAATATTATTTTGTGTTGAAATGTTCCCAAGGCACAAAATACCCGGCTAACTAACTAGATGATAACATGAACTTGGAAGTGCTTTATAAAAACCCATGTCTCTAAGTCATGGGTTTTTAAACTTGTTAGTAGTATGGACCCCTTTGGCAATCTGGTAAAACCGATGGACTGTTTCTCAGAAGAATATTTTAAATGCATAAAATAAAATACATAGGAATACAAAGGCAACCAGTTACACTGAAATAGAGTTATCAAATTTTTTTAAAAAATTCATAGAACCCATGTTAAGAATGCTTTTATTTAATGGAGTTTTTAATTTATGAATTTTGGACATAAAAGAGAGCAGGGAAGAAGGGGGGAAATAAGCATTTATATAGCACGTATTCTGTCTCAAACAGTGTTAAATGTACAATGCCAAAAATGAAGTTTTAATTTTTAAAAATGCAAACATTGCTTTAAAGCATCATATCCGTCTTTATGATTCTTTGATCTCAGAGTTGTAATCAGGGAAGGGCTGCTGAAGTTTTTCCCTAGATTGTGACATGTTGGGGAAGCTTGGAGGATGGGGGTGGAGAGCAGTGTGCTTCTGAATTTTGATGGCTGTTCAGAAAATGACATCCTCATGCTTTGTAATTAGCCAGCAGGTACCTCTGCAGTTTTGGAGGGTGAGGAGACAGAATCTAGGAGACCATGAGGCATATGTGTCAGAGATGGGGTAGGAGAAAGAACAACAGCCCTCTCCTGCTCCTAAAGACTGTCATTGTACTATTCTCTGCCAATGTCATGGTCTCCTCCCATTGTTGTCTACATTCCCCACTCTCAAGAGTTTTTGCTCCAAGTGGAAAAAATTCTTATCTAAACCTCTGCCCACTCTTGAAAAGTCGATATTCATTGCTAGAACTGCCTGGGTTCTTTGCATCATCTTTCTATAAAGGCTCTCTTTCACCATTCAATAGCATGTCTGTTCCTTGAATCAGACATGTTTCCTGGATGAGAAATTAATTCAGATTTGAAAATTATAATGAAAGAAGGAAGAGTAAAGACAGTAGTGACCATCTATATTATATAAGCTAGTAAGTAGATTGTCAGGATGCTGCCATTTTTAAAAATCTTTCTATACCCAATGGCTAGCAAGCACAGTGGCTTGCATAAGCCAGGTCTAGGAAGATAAGAAGGGAAAAATTTGGAGGATAGACTATTTTAGGAAGACAGACCTAGGTGGTTCACTGAGATGAAGAAGAAAGAGTGCCAAGAGGTGAAAGAAAGGAGCTGGAGAAGATAAGGAGGGAGAAAATACCAGCCTGGCTGATAAGAGGCAGCCTGGTATAAATGGAACCAGAAAAGCTAGCTTCTACACTAATTCCAACATCCTGCAGTAGCACTTCTCTGGGCCTCAATTTCTTTATCTGCAAAATATAGGTATTCATATTGTACTATCTACCTGAAAGGATACAAGTGATGGCAGTAGGTTGTAAACCGTAGAGTGACCTCAAAGTACTGATTACTCCTTCCTTTCCGCTTTTGTTTAGGATTGGTCCTGTACAAATGAGAATACTTTGGAAGTCATTTCCAGACCTGCGGCCATTAAATCCTGATCTTAACTCTCCAAATGACTAGTTTCCATTAGCACCTCACCAAAAGATGGTGGCACTATTGGATTTCTCACTACTATGCCCTTCTTTAGTTAATAAGATATTTATGTAGTGCTTTAAGGCTTACAATCACTCCTTAAAATAAATAGCCTCATTTCACAAATGAAGAAACTGAGGCTTTGAGAGTTTAAATAACTTGGGCTTTGTCACACAGCTAAGAAGTGTCTGAAGTAGGATTCAAATCCAGGTTAACTAACTTTAGAGTTTTGATCAATGCAACGATAAACCATGACTCCAAAATAATGAAGATGAAACAAGAGGCTCTCCTACTAGTAGAAATGTGATAAACTAGACTTAACATGAAGAAAGTGACGTATATTTTTGGACATGGCTAAAGTTTAGATTTTCATTGTTAGATATGTATGGAGAGATTTGCTTTTCTTTTTTCTTCTCTTTTAAATTTGCCTAGTCGGGGAGGGATAGTGAGAGGGATAGCTTTTTTAAAATTATTGCCTGAAAAATGAAAATAACACAAATAACACCTCCTGTGTTCAAGGCCCTATCCTAGGTGCATTTGAGTAAACAAGGCCAGTTTCTAAAAGCCATGAAAAAATACAGTTAATTAAATTTTTAAACAACACTTCGAATTATAGAAATGAAAAATTTCTCTCATAGAAATAAACTACAAGACCTACTAACTTCTGAAATAAAAATTGAGCAAGATATAAAAATAAGGACAGGTAGAATGGTATTGTGAAGGAATAATCTGTAATATGATACAATGGATAGAGTATTGGGGTTTTAGTCAGAGAACTTGGGTTAGAAACTTGTTTGGGCCATGTAATACCTCTATGATCTTGGGTAATAACCACCTCTCTAGGCTTCAGTTTCACCATCTGTAAAACAAGGAGGTTAGATTAGATAAATATACCATACCATACTGCTGTCTCTAGTGTTCTCATTATATGTGGGGTAAGATAGGTGGGTTATATCAAGAAATCAATAAAGAATATAGAAAAATGCCTTTTCATTAATTCTTTAAGAATATAATTATTTTTTCATTCAATATTTAATATTATTCCTGAGACTTTTACATATTGATTTCATGATTCAATACATGTAATATGAACAAAATAAAGCTGATGTCTCTTCTGCATTTTAAAATTCTGGATATTTAAAATTACACTGCTATCATTTTTAAATTGCTCATCTCTGCCCCTCTGAGCCCACACATTTCAATGCACACCTAAATGCCATTAACTCCTAGTTAAATGTCTTAGTTGTCTAGCTGAATAAGTAGGCAATAAGGAGTGTCATCCCTAAGTAAGTTTCCAGCTGAAAAGTGCTGAATAGGTCACTTGTAGCCTGGGCTTCCATCTGGAGCCAGTCTGGAATCCTTCTGATGAACTGTCAAGGACTGAAGACTGAAGGACAAGAAGCTTATTAGACCTTGTCCTCTAAGAAAGGGGTGGGGGGACTGTCCATCAACAGCTTTTTTTTCTTGTTTGTTTTTGACACTAGAGACGAAGTGTGTTACACAGACAACTGCCCATTCATCCTCTTGCTCAGAAATGCTGATGTCCTGGGGGAGGGGACATGTGCTCAAACTGACAGCTACTGATGCAGTTACTTTAACTATTTCACCAGCTTTTAAGAAAGTGCAGAGCCATGATAAAAATGACTTGGGTAGCTCTGACACCAAAGTGTCAGAACCAGTCTTATCCCTTGGGAAGTTTGAAGGAAGGGAGGCAAAGACTAATATTAAACATTTATTTAATACATTAAGGTTTATAGAAATCTTTATAACTATCTCATTTTATCCTTACAACAACCTCAGAAGGTAGCTGCTCATAGTATCCCCATTTTACAGATAAGGAAACTGAGTCAGATAGAGGTTAAGTAACTTGCCCTGGGTCATGAAACTAAATATTTGTGTCAGGATTTGAACTTATCATTCTGATTTCAATTCTAGCACCCTATTCCCTATGTCACCTAGCTACCTCCTAGAATGCCTCAAAGTCCTCACATGGGAAACTTTCTGTTCTTTTCTAGGTCTGCTATTGTTTGATAGGCAGGACGAGGGCAGGATAATTTATATACACTCCTTTAGATTCATGTTTTTTCACTGTATTAATCAGAGTCCTAAAGTCTTTCAGAGTTGCCTTGTTCTATAATGTTATTGTAGAAATTATTCTCTAGTTCTGTTCACTTTGCTTCAGTTTATAAATGTCTTCCCTGTTTTTTCTGAAATTGTCCATTTTATCATTTCCATGCCTCAGTAGAAGTTCATTAAATTCATATGACATAATTTGTCTAGCCCCTCCCCAGAAGAAGGTTGGCCTCCTTTCAGTTTTCAATTTTTGGCTACCATAAAAAACTTCAACAAATATTTTAGGACAAATAGATCCTTTCCCTCTCTCTTTGATTTCTTTAGTGTATAGGTTTAGTGGCGGTAAAGCTGGGTCAAAGGGTATTTATAGTTTTGTCACTTTCTAGGCATAATTCCAAATTGCTTGCCTGAATGGCCACACCGATTCACAGATCCCAATAGCATATTAGTGTACCTGTTTTCCCACAAGTTCTTTTCCTCCTTCTCCCTCCCGCCCCCCAAGTGATTCCCTCTCAGAGACCTGACTGGAAATGCTTCCACCACTCAGCTAAGTGATACAGTGGATCAAGTGGGAGGCCTGGAGTCACAAAGCCTAATCTTCCTAAGTTCAAATCTGTTCTCAGACGCTTACTAGATTCCTGACCTTGGGCACATCACTTAGCCCTGGTTGCCTCAGTTTCCTCATCTTTTGGAGAGGGAAACAGCAAACCATTCTAGTATCTTTGCCAAAAATAAAATATCCTAAATGGGGTCACAAAGAGTGGATATTGACTGAAAAATGACCAAACATCTATCTGGTCATATGGAAAACTGTTCAAACCCTGAATACCATGTGGTTATTTTCAAAGTATAGGTATGATACATAGTCTGAAGGTTTGCTTCCAATGAAAGTAATATGGCCCTGTTGACAAAACACAAAAAGTGCCCCTATTACACTTGGCATTGAAGATAACATCATTTTGAGCTAGCAGCTCCATGAAGAAAATAAAACAACATCCAGTGACTAAAACTACATGACAGAGGGGCCTTGTGTACTTTCTGAAAGAGACCATCATCCCACTGAATTGGAATCATTGTCCTCTACAGACTTGGTCCATAGACTCTGATTGATATCAATTAACAGACTGTCACTATTGTAAGTAAAAAATAATGTTATCAGCAAATAATATACAACTGATCTATTATACTCATGACAACTATTATCCCCATCAGACAAATTTGTTCTTTATTGATCTTCCAGGCAACTTCCACATACTTAGCTTGAGTGAAATACTTTTTTATGTACTAGGCATGCAGTCTATAAATAAAAAGATGCGAGAATCAATGTGGAATCCTAATCCATATGTTTATAATAATCTGTATCACAGTAAAGTGGAAAGGATGTTTTGAACTTGGAGTCATAAGATCCATATGCATGTTTCAGCTCAGCCATTGCCTATAAGACATTAAGCAAGTCAAAGTCACTTCAAGGTCACTTGCCTTCTCTGGGTCTTAGTTTGTTTAAAATTTTTTTAAAATTATACAAATTTTATTTTTATTAAATGACATGATTGACCTGCTGACCTATAAGTTTCTTTCCAGCTCAGATCTATGAACCGATTGAAGTTCATGAATATGTGTGGACTTGGTGACCAAATCCCTACCTTTCTCTCCAGGTGAACTGAGTTTAAATTCTTCCTTAGACTTATTAGTTGTATGACTCTGACCAAGTCACTTCTTAGCCACATTGTCCTCATCTGTAAAATGGAGATAATGATGAAACCTACCTCACAATGTTGTGAATTTTTAAAAAGCTGACACAGGCAAAGCACTTTGAAAACCTTAAAACACCTTACAAATTTGAGCTATTATTATCATTTTGGTTCTTTCTGGATTGACTTGCTCACCCAATCTGCACTCATGGTGGCAGATCAGAGGTTGCTAGATGGGGGTGATCATGCTGATAACAACTCACTGTCTGGTCCTAAGGTCCCTGTTGGGAGGAATACATTCTTACCACTCATAACTATAGCTCCTAAGACCCAACTCACATATTTCCCATCTAACAAATCAGCCAATATGATATTAACTCTTTATCAGAAACATTTACTCAACAGAAAGTAAAGCAAGAAAAACTAGAAGATAACATTCCACCCATTAACCTGGAACACCAACACACATGGTATCCATGGAGCAGTTGGCACAAAATGAGCAGAAAAAAGTATGCCCATGGCAATTCACACCTTTTTATGTGATGTCTTCTGTATCCTTCAGGCACAGTCCGAACTGTAGTTTACTAATGGCTACTTTTCTGAATTTCTAAACTCTCCTGCTATATAGAGTTACTTCTCTGCCAGCAACTCTCCTTCTGGGCTGCTGAAACAGTGTTAAACTCATTCAGCAAAAATTTCCCTAAGCTTGCAATCTGAAGAGCTTTTCCAGGTATGTTCCTTTGGCTAGATTCAAGAGTTTCTACCTTTCCGGTAATAGATGACCGTGCTGGGAAAGATAGAGCTAATTCCTCTGGTCAACTATTCCAAGCAGCAAATTGTTTCCTCTAATAATCTGTTCCAGGAGGCAATTTTTTTTTTCATCCAATCAGTTCTTCCCAGCAATATATGGCAGTGCAGACTCTGAGGTTGCTTCTTGGACCCAGTTCTGAAGACTCTTCTCAGACCCACTCAGAGGTCTGGTCTTGATGAACCCCACCGCTTCAAAGCAGGATCTCTTACATGAAATTATTCACTTCTACTGAACGGTAAGAAACCAAAATCCGCATTTCTATCAGCCAAGCCACAAATAGGCAATGTATAGTAGTTCCTTACTCATCAAATGTTTACAGGTATAAGGGTTTTTCAGTTTTTAGTCTTAAAATCCTAATATTAGTCAAATGTAAATTAGATGCTAGGAAACAGGATACCAGCCATCTTTACTCTGAATTACTTTCTTTTCTCTGTGGGGCTGCTTTTTCAGTGTTTCTCATGGAACTATCTTTTTCCCCCCTGAACCTTTTAATCAATAAACTTATCCTAATAAGAAAGGGACAGTATTTTACGACATTATCCCTGCTAACCTTTTTTTTCCATATTCATATTCCTCCAATAAAATTCTTGCATTACTTCTGTAAAAAAAAACCTACTGATTTGATACTAGTTAATTAACAACCTTAGGCAATCACGCTTCTTGGAGATAGATTAGAGCAATGAAGTCAAACTCAAATAGAAATCAGATCCCTGCTGGCCACATTTTGACTTAGAAAACCTCAAATTAACATTATCTTTGTTATATTACATTCTTATTTATTTTGTTAAAAGTTTCCCAATTACATTTAATCTGGTTCAGGCTACACTCAGCCTGAGAGTTTGACACCTGTGGACTAAAGAAGCAAAGTCACTTATGGAAATGGCTCTTTCTGAACTTTATCAATAATTACAAATAGCTCTGAGAAGAACCTAGAATGATAAACAAAAGAGCATCCACAGAAAAACCAAGATGGCAAAGGATCTTCAAACCATGTGAAGATTGCTTAAAGGAGCTAGAGATTTTTAGTCTGAAGAGATGAAAGCGAAATGGAACATGATAGCTGTTTTTAGGTATTTGAAAGGCAGGAGAGAGAGAGAGAGAGAGAGAGAGAGAGAGAGAGAAAGATTAGATGTATTCTCTATGACCTCAGAGGGAAGAATAAGGAACAATTGTAGAAGCTGCATAGAGACAAATTCAGGCTTAACGTGGGGAGGAAGGGACATCCTAACCATTGCTGTTGTTCAGCTATTTTTCAGTCATGTCTGACTTTTTGTGACCCTATTTAGGGTTTCCTTGGCAAAGATCCTGGAGTAGTTTGAGATTTTCTTCCCCAGCTCATTTTTACAGATGAAGAACTGAGGCAAACAGGTTTAAGTGACTTGCCCAGAGTCACACAGCTAGGAAGCATCTGAGGACCATTTTAACCTCATAAGGATGAGTCTTCCTGCCTCCAGGCCAAGCACTCTATCCACTGTGCCACTTAGCTGCCCCTACCCGTCCTAACCATTGGAACTAGCCAAAAGTAAAGTGAACTGCCTCAGGAGGTAGTCTCAAAGACCACATAGTCCCAGCCCTCTTTTTTTTTTTAAATACCTGTGGAAACTAAGGCCTATAGGGGTTAAATGATGTACCCAAGGTCACATAAGTTCTAAGTGTTAGAGGTGGGATTTGAAACCTGTGCTGAGCCAATGCTTTTTCCACTTCACTACACTACTAAGTGTGGACTAAATTGGAAACCACCCCATGAAATACAAAGTAGTTCCCCACTCTCCCACACTTTTCCATCAGAACATATCTTTATGAGCAAAATTGTCCCTTGTGAAAGTTAACTTCCTTATTTTTGAAACACTGGTCCAGTTCCCAGATGATTTTGAGGTTTCAGGGAGGGTAAATGTGACTTCTGCTTTGTTGTGACAGCAACCACTTTTAAATATTCAATAATTGTAGGATGTACTTGGTCTATTTAGAAATGGTCATGGTGAGGGCTATACAACAGTTTCTGTTTTCAACTGCTGTTATTGCTTGTTTCCCTTCTCTCTGGTGCCTTTTTTTTTTTTTAACTCACATGTGGTTTGTGTTTATTGTACCTTGCCCTGTTGGTATATAACGACTATAATTCACAAAGACCCAAAACAGAAAGCATAGTATAACATATAACCCAACTGTGCATGTAGCCTTTTGAATAAATTTCAGGCTTATGAAGCAGAAAAGAAGGAATGATTACAGAGTTTTAGCAGAGGAAAATGTCATTGTTTGGAGTCTTATGTGACTCAGGGCTATAAGAGTAAATTGGCACATCAGTATCACTAATGTTATCCATTGGACCCCATTTATTGGCAGTTCTAGGAAGACTTATATTGTATCCTTTGTCATATATACAATGACAGCATTCTACAGAGGCTATTGTAGACTACTTTTCTTTTTTAAAAATTTATTAAAATACAGTCCTGAATTTTTTATTAGTGTAAAAATATTAATATGCTTTGGATATAAAATTACAAACAATGGCATGCTTAAATGTACTGCACTAAAAAGATTTCTCATATTTGGTGATATTCAAAGGCATGGAAGCATCTTTCCCCCCTTCAACAAATACAGAGTATTTTGGCCGTCAGTGAGTTTCAACTTTAAATCCCTGTGTTTTTCAATCCATGTGTATCATAGAAATTCACACATAGGTTACAACTTGAAACACAATCTAGTAAAATTCTATTGTCCACAATAGTTGGGAAAAATGACAAGTTTTTTGAAGTTTTTGCATTATATTACAGAATTTTTACATTAGCATAAGCCTAAATGTGAAGTTTGATTTAAATTGAATATTAAAGAAAGGAACCCATACACTTAGACCCAAACATCACAGTCCCTGGGGTGCTGACAGAAAAAAGTACAAACATCACTAAAGAGAACAAAAGTGAGAAAGCAGTTAGATTAGATCAAGTATCTGTAGATGAAATTCAGGCTGGAATTGGCATAATTTTTATGGTATTGAGGGGCTGATTTACAAGATAATTGAAGGAGAGGAAGATACCAAAGTTATGTAAAGAAAAAAAAGCCTAGAACCTCATTATTTTGAAAAAACAAAAAAAAGGAAAAAAGAAAGTATTTTTTCTCCAAACTCTTCCTCTCTTCTGAATTTTCCTATTATGATCAAGGGTACCACCATCCTTCCATTTACCAAGGTTCATAGGCTTGATATCATCCTTAATTCCTAACTCTCACAGCACATAATAATACCTCCTTAATCATCCTCACCCACAGCAATCCAGCTCCCAACTCCATGCGTTGCACTGGCTCTACCCCATATCTGGGGTGCTCTCCCTCCTCATCACCATCTTGTAGATTCCCTAGGTTTCTTTAGGACTCAGATCAAGTGCCTTATGCAGGAGGCCTTGTCTGGTTCCCTCCACAGTGGCTAATGTCTTCCTCTATAGGGTTACTGTAAATCTACTTCATTTGAGTCTTACATATATTTCATATAATGCCCTCCTCACTATTAGAAAGTAAGCTCCTTAAAAATATTTTCATATTTTTCTTTATATTTCCAATGGTTTAGCATAGTGTCTGGCATATAGTATTGTTTTTCTGCTTTGTACTTCCTCACCTCTCATATCCAATGAGTTGTCAGGTTCTGTCTATTCAGCCTCCACTCTCTCACTTTCATCTCTCATCTCTCTCACTGTAATAGTTTCTTAACATTTTCTGCCTCCATTGTACCCCCATGCATTTTTTCATATAGCTACCTGATTAATCCTTCATAGGCATATATCACTATACCATTCAAATCATATATTTAGTGCTGAAAGGAAACTTGACAATAATTTAGTCCAATCCCTTTATTTTACTCACAAGAAAACCAAGGTCTAGAAATATGAGACGACTTATTTAAAGTCACAGAGTAAGATTCAAACCTAGGTCTTTTGATTCTAAGACTAATACTTTTCACTAAATTGAGTTTTCTTGAAGCTTTTGTTGCTCCCCAAGTTAGTGAGAAAAGATCAGAGTCCTTGCCTTGGTATTCAGGGTTCTCAAATCTGGTACCACCATACTTTTCCGGCTTTCTCTCAAGCTACTCCTACTCTACGCTGAAGTCAAACTGGAGTTCTTTCTGGCTACTGAACATTCTCTCCAATTTCCTCACTCCCTTACCTTTGCTTGCATTATTCTCCATGTCTTCAGTGCCCTACATAAAGAGCTATAATTAAAGCCAGGTGAGCAGAGCTCTGCTGCTGAGATTTGGAGCAAGCAGTCCATGCTGCTGAGATTTGAAGCATAGTGGATACCACTTGTATTTTTTAAGAAGATATGAACAAATGAATGAATACTGTCAGCATGAGCAGCTAGTTAAAATAGAAAGCCACCAGAAGATATGCTTCCTCTCAATGGTCTCTCCAGTAGCAGCCTTTAAGTGTCCCAGTTTCTATCCATGGGCACAGGTGTCCAATGGTCTTTGTTTCCCTGACACATGAAAGCATTCCTGGGGTCTTTCCCAAAAAGAGTTTTGTGCTCTTAATTCTTAGGCCTCTCCTCAAGGTCTCCCCTACCTCTCCTACCCACAACTGAATTTATTTTTAAAAATCTATTTTATTCCCTCAAGGAATAAGAGATTCTTTGTGGATTCGAAATTATTTTCCTTTACTAGTTGGTACCATCCCAAGTATTTGCCTACTCCTCTTGTTCCTTTTCCTACTTCCATACTCCACCTTAGAATAAAAAAATATGGTCTTCTCTCAGATATGTGGAATTTTCAGAGAAGAAGTGGAAGGCAAAAAAAAAATCTAGAAAAGAGAAGAGGTTCATAAGGTTCGTATATAATAATACATAAGGAACAGGAAAGACATCCACATCAACAAATCAAGATTTTAGGGGGTTGTCATGATTGATATCATTATTATTACATATCTGATAGAAGAAATGTACTTCTTCTTCTAGGACAGGGGTAGGGTAGGGAAAAGGTCAGAGGCAGGAGAGAGCATGCAAACACTTGGGATGGTACCAACTAATAAAAGAAGATAGCTTCAAAACCCTAAAGAATCTCTTACTCCTTCCAGGATGCTTATGCATCACCATACGTACACTTTATGCACCCCTTCTCTTTCCTAGATTTTTTTTGCCTTTCCTTTCCCATTTGAGGATGCTTTGTCCCTTCATCTACCCTTTGTTTCCATACTCAGAGGAAGTTCAAACCAGAAAGCAGGGAGAAGCAGTCTTGAAGAATAAGCAAAAGATTGCATGTAGCCCTCATTGCAACGAGACAAGCATCATCCTGGTACATTCCATAAAAGATATTGTCCTGCTCCACTCTGTTTCCAAGGTCATCTTGAAGAAGACGTGGCCGTCTCTTCCTCTAGTCAATTACCTAGAAGTGGCCTCATTAGTTTGGCACACATGTCAAGGCGCACCCAGTCTACCTCTAGAGACAGTACTTTTTTTTTCTGGTAATGGAATAATAGACAATCTGTATGTAGTAAGAGGGTTCTTCAGTATTTTGGAGGAGTCTGTTTTGTAGGACAAATATTCTAATGAATCATCCACATACCTTTGCTCAGGGATGAAAAATGGCAGAAAGAAGTAGAGTGCCAGAATGAAAGAAAGAAGCGTGAATTGCCTGTGTTTCTGGTTATTTATAGTCATTTAGAAATCCTGTGAAATTACCAGTCTTCTTGGTAATGAAAAACTGATTGTCAGTGGAGTCTGAGGGCTTGGGTCTGAGAAATGCAATTCATACCCAAAATTAGACAAAACAGAGCCTATGCACATGTTTTCTACTAAGCTGTTGCACTTTTCAAGATCAGTGTCTGCCAAAAGAAATCAAAATCTCATGGCCTTTGGGTAATTTTGTTTCGAAGCCATGAAGAATTTTTGTTTTTAAAGTAGGAAGAAAAAGGAAAAAAACCCAAACATTAGAATATTCTTAGTGTGATGACTCACTCTTCCTTCATATGATATGGGAATTGATTATATAATGTCCTTTACTTCCCACTCCCCCCCCCTGCCGTTTCATTATATTTAATGTATTCTGGATGATTAAAATTTGCCACATAATATATGTGCATTTTAAGGCAATAATCATCAACAAACATTTATTCTTGTTATTGATCCCCCAGGTCAAGGAAAACAGACACTTTTCAGATTTCTAGGCTAAAAGCAATTGATGATTTCCTTTTTTTTAACGTGTTATTATTGCTTTTTGTTTTACTGTAATACAGTGTTTTCCCATTAAGCCAGTGCCCACTCTCAAGCCCCATCTTGTACCAAAGAAAAACAGTTAAGCAAAAACCAACCTCCAAAGGCAGTGTCTGGTTTCTTCTGCAAAATTCCATACCACGAAGAGGAAGGAAGTGTGTTTTGTGATGGTTTCTTTACTATGTTCTAAGCTCGGATTTTTATACACACACACACACACACACACACACACACACACACACACACACACACACACACACACACACACACACGTGTAGGAAAATGAGAAGCACATGGCACAAGAAACTTACAGCTGACCTTGAGTCAGAAAAACTCTGACACATATCAGCTGGGTGACCTTGGGCAAGTAACAGCTGAATAACCCAGGAAACTCCTTAACACACTAAATCATAGATGGATTGGTGATCTGCTTGATGGGAAGAGAGGTTCTGTATTCAAAATTTCCTACAGTGATTTCATCACAGATTTGACTCCTCCTGCAACCACCACCTCAAATAAAAGAAAAACTATATTCTTTTAAAAAAATTTTTTTTCTGTGAGTCACCCACCTAAACACCAAGGATGAATTTATATGTGAATAAGTTTACAGGACCAACCTGCAGAAGATCAGACTGGCAGGGACATTAGAGACCATTTAATCACAATTCCCTTATTTTATAGCTGAGGAAATTAAGACCAGGACAGGTGAAGTAGCCTGCCAAGGTCACATCATAGAGACATAAACCCAGGTCTTCTAATTCAAGTCTAGTCCTCTGGCTTCACCATTCTGCCTCATGGGTTTTTAAAGACATTGTGCTCATGACTGTATTTATGCCAGATCCACCAACTAAATGAGTCAATGTAGCAGAAAGAGAATCACTGAATCAAAGTCTTAAAGGAGCTCAGAGTCCAACTCACCCAAGCTGTTCCTTTCCAAGATTGGCCCCTACAACATCCCTAATGCATGATCATCATTACACCTTTTCTTAAAGACCTCCAGGGTTGGCAACACACTACTTCCCAGGACATATTTTTCCTCTTTGGAACAATTCCAGGTTTTGGGAAGTTTTTCCAAACATCAAGCCCAAATCTGCCCCTCTGTATCTTCTACCCATGGCTTCTAATTCTGCTCTCTTGGGCCAATCAGAGCAATCCTACTCCCTCTTTTAGTTGAAAGCCCTGCAAATAGCAAAAGATAACTATCATAATTAACATGTCCACCTTCCCCCTTTCTCTTTCCCAAGCTAAACACTGTCCTGCCCTTTAAACAATCCTCATATGGCATGCAATCAAGGCTCTTCACATCCTAGCTGCCACCTTCTGATTTCTTTCAGGTTTATCTACATTATTTCTCAAATATTGTGATCCAAACTGAACACAGTACTGCTGACCAGGGCAGTCATTCATTGTGTCTATGTGCTAACCATTTAATGGCTTACAATGGTCAGCTGCTTTCATCTCCCAGGGGATATCTTAGGTGGTTGGAGAATCTGGTTTAATATACAAACTAATTCTCAATGTACAGAATGCCAGGCTGATGGCATGGGCAAGCCTTTCATTTCAACTACTTAACCAGCCTTCATCTGGATCTCAAGACTATTGATTTGTCTACAGCAATCTTAAAGGTATCCAAAATGCTCATAGTCTAATCTGGTGTCCCATGACTCTTATAAAAAGCTTATTTTGAATTTTGATCATCAGCATTCTATCTACCTCAACTTGTTGGAATTCAAGCCATTCAGTTTACACAATCATAAATTTGGCCACTCATTCAATAATTAATTCCTTCCTATAGGTCAGGCACAATGCTAAGTTCTGAGACCAGAAAAAAAAGGCAAAACTACAGTCAGTGCCCTCAAGGGGCTTACATTCTAATGGTAGAGATAGCATGCCAATGATAGTACATGCAAGACACTTTTCCAACATCATCAAAGCACATTTAAAATACTTAAGGGCAAGTTTGTTTGAAAAACATTCTTACATTTGTCCACTTGGCCCAACTAGACAAATTCTTCTTAATCTTTTCAATTATTACCCCAAAGTCAGCTAGTACTTTTTTTAGAAATAGCTTTGTAAACTATAAAGTACTATGTATGACCTATTATCATAATAATTGTTATCATCAAGATAAAACTAATATAAAATCCAATTTAAAATTTTAGCTGTGGACCATGACATAGATATTTGTGCTTTTGTTCCCCATTTCAGTATCACTTTCCTAGCTATCTTGTTAATTTAGGTTATAAACAACTATGTTCAATGTTCAGAAGACTGATAAGCAGTGATGTATCCTTAGAGAGATCCTGCTGTGTTAATTCTATCTTCTGAGCCCAAGGACCAAAGAGAATTCAGGTAATAAATGCCCAGAGTATCCATAAAACAACAGGATGTCTCAGTAAGAATGGAATTTCGGGGGGTTTCTTCTTCCCTTGGAATAAGGGCCGTAACTCATATTAATGATCATTTTTAATGACCCAGGTGGTTTTTATTTGAAAATATCTCTAGCCAAATTTAGACCAGAACTTGAACTGAGCCATTTTTTGAAGTTCAAGAAAGATTCAAACTTTTAAAATAACTAACAGCATCATGAGAACATTCTCCCTACCATAAACCTCTCCTCTCTACATCCCTCTGGATTCATTCAATAGAGTTTAAAAGTAGAAGGAAGGGGCCTTGGAGATCATTTACTCCAACATCATCATTTTACAAAGGAGGAAACTGAAATCCAGAGTGGTTAAGTAATTTGTCCAAGGTGAAATAGAGAGTAAATTGTACGGCTGGGATTTAAACCTCAACCCTCTGATTCTCAATCTAGTGCTCCATCATATCCCAGCTTCCCATTGTTTTACTTCCTGTTTCATTCAGGAGGCAAGTGCTTGAATATCATGAGAAAAATCATCTTTTTAAATTAAATTTCTAAAAGTTATTGATATCTTTTGCAGTACATCACCTTGATTTTCAGATATCTCCTCCTTCCTAAGGAGTGATCCCTTGCTACAATAAAAAATGGGAAAGGGAAAGTGGTTTAGCAAAACTAAACAAGACATAAACTGTATCTGCCTAGATACATCATTACATATCCATAATCCTCTATTTCTTTTTTCTTTTTTTTTAATATCACTTCATTTCTGATGGATTTGGTTTTTTTTTATTTTTGAAACAAAAAATTTCAGAAATGTTTCCTATCTCTCCTGTTGCCCTCCATTTAAATAATAATTTTTAAAATGAAAAAAAAAACTCTCAAAGCAAATATGCATTGTCCAGCAAACCGAATTCCCATATTCGCCATGTCTAAACATGTATGTCTCATTCTGTCCATCACCAATCTGGCAGGCAGTGAGTAGTGTGTTTCATCTTTTGTCCACCAGACTCACAGTATATCATTATAATAATTAGAGTTCTCAAGTCTTTCAAAGTTGTTTTTCTCTATATGTTATCATCATTGTATAAATTATTCTCCTAGTTCTACTCATTTCACTCTGTATCAATTCATAGAGACCTTTCTAATTTCTTCTGAAACTTTCAAAAAGGCCCTCCTATTTTCTTTTGGGCAATATATGTAATAAGCAAATTTTAATTTTAGCCTGCTTTTGTTAAAATGAAAACAATATGTTTTCCCAAAAATCTTGGATCCTGAATGGAAATTCAGATCATCTGAGGCAGCATGGTGTCATAGAAAGGGTCTTTTTTCTGGAGTGTAAAAAAAAATCTGGGTTGAAATTTTCTCTCTGTCATTTACTACCTGTGTGACGGACAAATAATTTCTCCCCTCTGGGGCTCAATTTCCTCAAAAAATAAAATAAAAACTAGATGGCATCAAAAATCCTTCCTTCTCTCAACCTATTATCCAGTTTCTAACATAAATTAACAATATTATCATCTTAAAGTTTGTTTTCCTGAGTTTTGACTATGGAATTAAAAGGAACAACAGCTTATATACGTGCAGTTTGTTCAGTCATTTTTCTATTGTGTCTGACTCTTTCTGAGCCCGTTTGGGGTTTTCTTGGCAAAAATACTGGAGTAGTTTGCCATTTCCTTCTCCAGCTCATTTTACAGATGAAGAACTGAGTCAAACAAGATTAAATGACTTGCCCAGGGTCACATAGCTAGCAAGTGTGGTAAGCTGAATATGAACTCAGGTCTTCCTGACTTCAGGAAGGCCCAGCCCTCCATCTACTGTGCCACCCAGCTTCCCTTTATGACATAATTGGGCATTACTAATTTGGTTAATATTAACCTGTTAAGCACCAAAATCTTTTTGCTTCAATTCTTATGTCAAAATAATTATAATATATGACATACTTCCATGCCTTAATAAACAGGGTATATCAAACACAATTTAAGTTTTTGTTGTTATTTTTGATGGTCCAGGGTATTATTATGATCAGTAGTTAGAGGTGGTAGCTGTAGGTGACTCAGGACATGTTCACCCTCCTTGCTGCACTTCCTTTCTTTATAAACAGAGCGGGGAAAGGAAAAAAGATAGAGTTACGTGAGTTATCTTCCCCCCTGCTCATGTAAAACTTCCTATAATTTTTGCCCTACAGAGAAAAAGGTAATTTCCTACTTGGCCTGGATCTGCATAAACATATCCAGTTCACTTTCTTGAATAAATCCCTAATATCAGGTTACTTTCTAGACTTCTTCTCTCTTACAAATATCAAGCACCAACTGCTTGGGCAGTGTAACTGGGTGCTTTCCTGCAAAATTTATGATTAAATAAAGACTGAAATATTGACTAAGTTGCTTTCTTCATCAATTTTCTTTGACTTTGAAGCAATATAACAAGAAATTATCTTATTTCAGCGTGGTACAATGGCTAAAGCACTAGGCCTGGAATTAGGAAGTTCTGAGTTCAAATTTGGCCTCCAGATATGTGACCCTGGGCAAGTCACTTAACCTCTGTTTGCCTTATAGACTAGAGAAGGAAATGGCAAACCACTCCAGCATCTTTGCCAAGAAAACCCCATGGACAAACATAGAGTCAGACACAACTAAATGACTGAACAATAACAAAACCACTTCAACCTCCTAAAGTGTTTATTCATTCAATAAATATTTTTCAGAACCAGCTCTGTGAAGTATATTGTACTAGGTATATGACCTCTCTCTCTGGCTCATTTCCCTTCCATAGTAGATTGTAACCTCTCTGCTGGCAGA